ACTTTCCTTAGGAGGACTAAATTCTTTTCTCCTTTCATCTGGTGAACAGATTAATAGAGCTTTCTAAGGGGTCATCCACTCATATGTTCTTAGAGTACAGCCCTGCTGGTGATGATGTAGCATTGCTTTAAATCATTTTGGGCTGCAATTTGTAGGCATTTTATTCGACTTCTATTATTTATTTTTAATTTTCATTGTATTTGGAAGGCAGGGAAAGAGAGAGAGAGAGAGAAACACAAGTGAGCAAACACACTTCCTCACTCCCCATCTACCTGTTCCTTTCCAAAACACCCACGAGAGGAGGCTGGGCTGATGCTGGGAGCCTGGAGCTCAGTCCAGGTGTCCCACACTGGTGGCCGGAGCCCAGCTACTTGAGCCATTACATGCAAGAGGCAGGAGTGTAGGGCCGGAGTGAAGTACTGAGCCCAGGTAGTCCAATGTGGCCTCTAGGCCAAATGTCCTTATTTAGGACTTAGAAACTTTCTATAACAAATGAGATTGGACCATAATTTCTTTTTTATGTAAAATTCTTATTTGTTTAGTGTAGGGTATAATAATGTATAGTATAATAATGTATAGTATAGGGTATAATAATAGTGTAGTAGTATAATAATGAGATATTTTTTCCCCCAACATTTGAACATTTTTTTATTCTTTTTGAAATAGGATTGGAATTTTTCTTATGGATTTTATATTCTAATCAACCCTTGCTAAATCTTTTTGAAAGATGACTCATATTAAAATATTTGGTATGCTCTGTAAAACACAGTATGAGTTTCAGCAGTACACTTAACAATAAAGAAAAATAGCTGGGAAAACATCAAGTTAACCTCTCCACAACAAGTCAACAGTAAGCTGATGACTATCCTTTTAAGTGAGAATTTCAAGCTTCAGTTTCCTGGCTTCAGCGAGCAGAGATTTGATTTTTTTACTTCCATGCAATCCCCAAATGCACAGGATACAAATGTCAAGAAATTTAAAAGTATAGATCTTGAAAGCCGCCTTTTCCTTAAGTTTTTTGAATTTTAAAGAAACGAAATATCATTTACATTGAATACAGGAAACATGCACCTGAAATTGCATCTCAGAATATATTTGTCAGGAAAGGAAAACAATTGATGGATTCTAGGATCAGGTTCATGTATTTTTGTACCTCGTAGAAGTCAGTGAATAGGGATTGGAATTTACTAAACAAAGACTTAAATTGAGGCAAAATATTTAGGAAAAAGCTATTCTATTCATTGCTACAGGCATGTGAATTAAGATCAACTTTGGCCAAAGAAAAATCAAGAAACTAATTCCATTCACAATAGTCCCTCTCTCTTTCTCTCTCTCTCTCTGTCTCTCTCTCTCTCACTCTCTCTCTCTCTCTCTCACACACACACACACACATTACCTGGGGATAAACTGAACCAATGAAGAGAATATTTTCTAAACAAATATTGAGAATTGTTGATGAAAGAAATTAAGGAGGATGCACAAAAGAGGAACACTATCCCACAGTCATGCATTGGAAGAATTAGTACTATTAAAATGTCCACTCAAAGCAATATAGAGATATAATGTCAGCACCAATGACATTTGTTGCTCATTTAATTCATTTTGTACATTTTCTGTGTAGAAGTACAGAAAACAATCATGAGACTCATATGCAACCACAAAATGCTGTTAATAGTGAAAGCAATTTTGGAGCATACTAAATAAAAAACCAAGCTGAACGCATCTTGATACATGATCTCAAAACATATTACATAGCTATAGTAGCCAAAATTGCATGGTTTTGGCATGACAACTACCACACAGGATAATGAAATAGGGAACCCACAAATAAACCCATATATCTACAGTAAGCTGGTATTTGTAAAAAGGTGACTCTTACCAAAAAAAAAAAAAAAAAAAAAAAAAAGTAAGAGTGACAGAGAAAGAGACAGACAGACAAAGAGAGATCTCCCATCTGCTGGTTCACTTCCCAGATAGCTCAGTTTGGGTTAGGCAGAAACCAGGAGCTAGGAACACCATCCTGGTCTCCCATGTGAGTGACAGGGACCCACAAGTACTTGGGCCATTCTCTGTTGCTTTTCCAGGCACATTAACCTAATTTTGGATCATAAGCAGAGTGGCTGGAACTTGTGCCAGCACTCTGGTATGCAATGCCAGTGTAGCAAGTGGCAGCTTAAGTTGCTGAGTGACAATGCTTATTCCATTGAGTTTTGATTTTGACAAAAATATTCTGGAAAAAATATAATTTGTCCAATAAAGTGCTGGGAAAACTGAGCATTCACATGCAACAGAATGAAACTAGACTGCTATCATTATACACAAAAAGTCAACTCAAAATAGATGAAACTTGTAGGTGAAAGACTACATTTTAAAGCCACTAGAAGGAAACATGGGAGGAACACTTCAGACATTGATACGGGCAATGGCTTTTTTGGCAAGACCCTGAAAATACATCCCCCAAAAGTAGAAATAGACAAAATGGTATGTTAAATGAAGAAGCTTCCACATAGCAAAAGAAACAGAGTGCAAAGACAACCTGAACAACAGGAGAGAATATTTATAAACTGCTCATCCAACAAGGGACTAGTATTTACAGTATATGAGGAATGCAAAAAAAAAAAACCCCTCAATGCCCCAAATTAAGTAGACTAAAATAGCTAAATTTTAGTCACTAGCTGATTAAAAACTCAGCTAATGAGCTGAACATACATCTTTCAAGGTATAGCAAATACCCAAAAAAAAGACCAGATACCACTAATAATCAGGAAATTCAAATCAAAGCCACAAAGAGCAATGCTCTCACTCCAGTTAGGATAGTCATTATCAAAAAGGCAAAGAAAAAAAAAAAAGGAACAAATTCTGAGGAGGACATAGATATTACTCCTGGTAGGAATGCAAATTAGTACAGCTGCTATGGAAAACAGTATGGATGTTCGTTCAAACACTAAAAATAGACCCGTCACATGCTTCTGCACCCACTGCTTTGTACGTGTTCAAGAAGAAGGCAATCAGTTCATCAAAGAGAGAGTTGTGCTCCCCAGTTCACTGCAGCACTCCTCCCTAGAGCAACATATGGACTCACCAAATGTGTCTACTGCCGGACAAGTGGACATAAAAAGAAAAAGAATGTGATATGTATACGTATTACTGGGCCACAAAAAGAGAATAAGATCCTATTGTGTGTCAACACAGATGGAGCTGGAAGACTTTGTGCAATCCACATAAAATAGCAGTTGCCACATATAAGTTGACCTCACAGTAAAAGGGGGTACAAGAGGCCAGGAAGGGTGCTGGGAAGGGGACTGAGGGTGGGCACCAAACACACTCAGCTGGTAAGAATAAGCTTTAATGTCCCAAGGCATGACAGGGTGAGTATAGTTCACATCAATGCATTACATAGTTTATAAAAAACCAGAAGAAATTGAAAGTCCTCAGCACAAAGAAATGATATATATATATTTTTTTAAGAAATGATGTTTTAATGCTAATTATCCTGATGCCATCAAATACAATGGAAATTTTCAAAGGCCCATATGCTTATTGTTATTTTTTGGTAGTTTTTTTATATTCTATTTTTCCCCAACTAGATGATCACCACATATTATTTTAGCTACGTCATCTATAAGCATTTAATTACATGAACTATCTAAAGATGTACTTTGATGTAGAATATAAGACTCAATAACACAAACTACAGGGTCTGCACAGCCGCCTCACCAGCCCTGCAGAAGCACACGAGTGGGTCCGACTCTAAGCATGTTTGCACGTGGAGAACGGAAACCCAGGTGTGAATGTGAAGGAAAATACCAACCAGGAGCACTCTGCTGTTTCTGGGAACTTAAGCTAAGTCTTGTAGACGGCAAAGGAACTGGACGCATATCATTTCTTCGTCCCTGACTTGATGAGTGGTCTTCTCCCAGCACGGGGGTGTAGGAGGCAGAGACAATGCCCCAAGCGGGACATCTTACCTGGGAGACACATGCCCACCCCACATGCACCACGGCCTCTCATGGGAAGAAAAAACTGTCTATACTTCAACAAATAACCAAAGTACTCTACTGCTGAAAATTACCCAAACACTGGTCCCCACCAACCTATTCACTGATTCCAATCAATCCACTCTCCGTTTCTACTTCTTTTTTTTTTTTTTAAAGATTTATTTTTATTATTTTTTTCATTGGAAAGGCGGATATACAGAGAGGAGAGACAGAGAGGAAGATCCTCCGTCCGATGATTCACTCCCCAAGTGAGCGCAACGGCCGATGCTATGCCGATCCGAAGCCAGGAGCCCCCTCCGGGTCTCCCACGCGGGTGCAGGGTCCCAAAGCTTTGGGCCGTCCTCGACTGCTTTCCCAGGCCACAAGCAGGGAGCTGGAAGGGAAGCGGGGCCGCCGGGACTAGAACCGGCGCCCATATGGGATCCCGGGCGTTCAAGGCGAGGACCTTAGCCACTGCGGCACCACGCCGGGCCCCGTTTCTACTTCTTACAGCTTAGTCCACCACATGCCCACACTGAAAAACTACAGAGATCTCAAAACACTCCATGTTTCTGCAGCAGTTACTGCCTCTCAGGAATTCCTCCCATCTTCATGGGTCCATATGCCATTCTCAGTCTGCCTTGTAATTTGTTTATAGTGACAGTACACAAACTAACTGATTATATTTACGGCAAATGAGAGGCTGCAACAATAAGAATGTAAAATAGTTTATCTGTTGGATTTAATTACGTTTGGTTTGGCACTGGAGAAATCACTGTCAGGGAAGCCTCTCATTGTTGGTTCAGCTAGAGGCTGGAAAAGTGGAAAAGCATTCCTAATCTGGAAACTCAGAGCCTGGATGCTAATTTTACCTCCTATGAAATGGATGACTCCACTTGTACTTATGGAGGAAAATAACTGAATACATTACAGTTGGCACAAAACAGGTTCAGTGATAGCTATGACTAAAAACCACATATAGCTAAAGCCTTATTTCGCTATAAAAAAAAAAAAAAACCTTACCTCTTGAAATGATTCACCAAGACTCCAACAAGTTCTCCAATTCGATTCTCCTGGGTTGGCTGTTTGCTGAAGAGGCAGACAATGAGGTCTTTGTTGTCTTTTGTATGGAACACAACAAGTTCGTCCTTTCCATTGGAGACACTCAGACCAGTCAACTGAAAAAGACAATACATGAATAAACCATTAGGACGAGGGAATTTTCAGATACATTTTGAACGGTTTTGCTCAGTAATGCTGATTACTTTCATCCTTATTGGGTTTCTTTTTAAAAATTATTATTATTTTACTTAGAATATCTTTACATAGTTGATTAGGGCTCAAAGGGTCAAGGGCTATAGGAAAGTGGGTAAGAACATTGTTTCCACATTCTCTTTTTTCTTTTCTGTATCTGGGGGAAGGGGACGACAAAGGGAGAAGCCACATCCAGCTTCCCAACCATCCCAGGGGCCCCTATGTGGGGCATGCTCTGAGAGCACTGCTCAAGTGGTTTTCAAAGTTCAAAGTTCTGAATTGCTGCCAATCTCGCCACTCCAAGCACAATGAAAACTTTCCAGAATCCACTGAAATCTCTCTATAACCCACCAGCTGACATAGTCCACCTTAGAGTCTCTGTTTGCCCAGATTTTTACTGCCAACACTTGGTTGGGGTTGTTGATCAATTTGTTCTGTCCTCTGTCATGGTACCAAGTGTCCTCTGCAGACTCCAATGTATTGCCATATCCTCCATGTGCATCTAGACATGCTCTCTCTGAGCCACTGAGGAGGCTGACACATGCACTCCCTGGTCAGACCATGGAGCCTTCAATTCTTTCCATGACTGGGGTTCTGAGTCCAGCAGTTCAGTTGGGGGATCCCCAAGGAAGCTTCATTTGAGGTCATCCCAGGCCTGATTCTTGTGTGTGCTTGCCAAAACAGAGTCCAGCACAGTCTGTCGCCCCAATCAGCTTATGTACATGCTGGTGGTTGCAAATGCTGGGTCAGTTCTGTTTCCAGCCCTGTCTTTTACACAAACCAATGGGTATTGCAGCCCAACCCGATCCTGCCCACAACACATTTGACCCTCATGCAAACCAGTGGCAGCTGCTGCCTAGCTGGAGCAACCCACAATAACCCTCACCAGTCTCACCCTCTGCCATGGTTCCCATGCTTGCCAGTATGTAGAGCAAGCTGGTCCAGTCTGTCCCACATCCCATTTAGCTCTCATGTATATCAATGGACATTGAAGCCTAGTTCAACCCAATCAACCCCACTATCCAGCTCACACATGTACCAGCAGGTGCCGTTCTGTCTAGCCATGCCTGCCACAGTCCTGGTTCTCATGCTCACCAGTCAGTGTGGCTATCCAAGAGGGAGGTGCCCACTGTTTCCACTCCTACTCCCAGATCTTGCACTCACCAGGTAGTTCTAGTTTAACTTGACAGAATTTGCCCCTCATGCCAGCATCTGCCAGCTGATGCTGCGGCAAAACCCAACCAATCCACACTTACTCTAACTTATGCAGGCACCAGTAGGTACAGTCTGCCTAGCCTGTTTTTACTCTGATCCAACTCACATGAGGCCGACAGGTGCTGTAGCTCTGCCCAGTCTGGTCTGCCCCCTTCCCAACTCATGCTCTCTAGTGCGAGTGGTGGTTCAGCAGGGAATCCCCACATAGCCCCCTACCGGCTCTGCCCCTCCCAACTCGTCTCACATGTGCTGGTTGGGTGCTGTTGCCCAGTGTGGCACGACTTGCTTCACCTCAACATTTGTCAGTGGATTCTGGCCAGGCTCAGCTCACCCCCAATTCTAGCTCACGCTGGTGGGGGCTACAGCCCAGCCCAGCTGGTACCCAGTCCCAGCCATCATGTGTACTGGCATGTGTTGTGACCTAACCTGGCCCAACCCACACTCTATTCTGGTGCTTGAGTTTGCCAGCAGATCATGTGGACTAGCCCAGCCTGATTCACCCCCAATCTGTGCCAAATGTATGCCACCAGGTACCATTTCCTGGGCTGGTCGGGCCTGGTCAGGCTGCTCCCTTTCTTGGTTCTTGCGCTCACCTGCAGGGACTGTGTCCTAACATAGAAGTTTCCCAAGCATCTCCATCAGAACCTCTCCCAATGCCAGATCTCAAGCATATTGGTGGGTCTGTGGGCCAGCCCTATTCAGTCCACCTCCTGTCCTAACAGGAACAGTGGCCTTTCCTGGCTGGCCTGCAGCCCATTCTGGTTTTATTGTTGGGTGTTACAGCCCAGCTTAGCCTGGTCCATACACAGACATAGCTCACACCTGGCTCAGCAGGGGCAACACCCTAGCCTAGCCCATCTTACACCTACCCTGGTTCTCACGAGCACTAGTTGGTACTGGAATCTAGCCCAGTCTGGTGCACCCAACCCAGTCCACACTTGTGCCAAGGGACACTGCAGCCATATCCAGACCAGAATGCAGCTTCCACTCTGGCCCCTGCATATACCAATGAGAACCACAATCCAGCCAGGGCAACTGCTTTGTTCCCCAACCAGGCCTGTTCCCAGCCACAGATCTCATGTGTGCCAGTGGTTGTTCTGACCCAGCTTGGTGCAGTCCCACACCTGTCATGACCTTTGCCTTTGGATGCTGTAGCCTGGCCTAACCTAGCCTCCCTCCAGCTCCCACTCTCACTGGCAGGTGCTGGAACCTGGCCCTACTCAGTCTGCTCCCATCCCTGGCTCATGCAAACCAATAGATGTGACAGCCTAGCCTGGGATGACCTATGCTCCAGCCTGGCTTCTGTTCTTGCCTGTAAGTTAAGGTTTGTTTGGCCCTGCCCAGTCTGCTCCCCTCCAAAATCAACCCACATTAGCCAACAGTTGGAGCTACCTTGCTCAGCTTGCTCAACTCCCAGGCCATGTGATCACCAGAAGTGATGACCCATTAGGGGAGTTTCCTACATTCCCCCACTTGGCCCACTTCCAGCCACAGATCATACATGCCAGGGGATGGTAGGCCCTAGCCTGGCATAGCCTGCCCCTCCACCTTGTATGAGCTGGTGAATGTTGCAGCCTGGCCACTCCACATCCTCTTTTAGGATGGACATGCAGGTGCTACAGCCTGGATCTGCCCAAACTGTTCTCAGTCCCTATACCCACGAGTGATGGCAGGTTCCATGGTCACACCTAGTTCAGTCCATTACCACCCCAACTCTTGAGTTAACCAGCAGGAATTATATTTCCACAGGGTTTGGCAAACATATTCTCCATAGAATCTATCCCCAGACCTGGCTCTCTCGTGTGCTGGTTAGTGTCATAGCCCTGCCTAATGTGAGTCATCTGCTGTTGTGATATTCAGTCAGGTACTTGGATCTAGCCCTGCTAGACCAGCCCCCAGCCTTAGCTTTTGCATGGGCTGGTGTGTGGTGGTCAGCATTTCATACAGTGTGGTAAAGAATTTAAAACTGCAGGGACAACAGTGAGCTGTGCATGCGCTGAGCTCGGCAAGAACTCACTGAGCTCAGTGTATTACACTGGTCCCACAGGAAAATAATGCCGACTACAGCATTGTACAGGTCAAAATAGGTCCGTGTGTGGCCCTCAGATCTAATGGCCAAGAGGTTCCAGCAAGATCACCACCACCAACAACCTAGCTATATAGGTGTCTCCCTAATCCTGGGACCCATTCCAATCAGAAGTGGGAAAAAGGTTGTACAGACAACGGTGCAGCCTCAGCACAGTATCACAGCAGGTGGAGATTGGTGAGCCAGGAGCTAGGGCTACGGAGACTATGGTAGAAATATAACGTAAGAATCCAGACCTGGAATTTGCTGGAGGGAGTGACACAGCTGACAGCAAACAAAGAGCCATGCACATTCAGAGTTAACTGAAGAAGACATCGAGAAAATGGGGGATACAGAATTCAAAACACTTGTCATAAAACTTATCATAGCAAGAAGCATGTAAAGCAAGTATTCAAGGAATTCAAGGAATATGTCATACCGGAAATGAATCAAATGAAAGCTGATATATCAGAAATGAAGAATACAGTGGAGCAAATTACAGTGGAGCAAGTTAACCAAAAGCAATCTTCACCAAGACACATGATAATCAAGCTCTTTTCAATTGAACATAAGGAAAAGATCCTGAAATGTGCACAGGAAGAAAATCAATTGACAATATAAAGGAATGCCAATTAAACTCACAGGAGATCTCTCACAGGAAACTCTACAGGATAGAAAAGAATGGAGCTACATATTCCAGATTCTAAAAGCAAAAATTGCCAGCCCAGGATAAGGTACCCAGCAAAGCTTTCCTTTGTCTTTGAAAATGAAATAAAAATCTTTCACAGTAAAGAAAAGTTAAAAGAATATGCCTCTTCCAAACCTGCCCTATAAATGACGCAATATTTTTAAGGAACAAGATCGAGGTAGAAAAATCCATGACTATATTCCTATGGTTTGTTTCTGGTCTATGTTTTCACTCCTTTGTCAAATGTTGTCTTGGTTACTGTAGTTTTATGGTTAAAATATTAAAAATCACCACTGGTAGTGGTTAACTCTGAGGTTGGCAAAGGGTTTTGCTCCTTTGCAGGGGAGTCTTCAGTAATATTCATTGTGCCTTTGTCTCTTCTTTTGCTCTTGGTCACTGTACTTCTGGTTATCAGATTCTTCTCCTTGGAGCAGGTTTCTAAGCTCTGTCACCCACAGGTCTACAGTTTGATTTTACTTAATCGTAGTTGGTACATGGCAAGTGCCTGAACCAGATACACACCTGCGAGTATTTTCTCCAGACTGTGTGTCATGTTATTCTCCTTCTGTGGAGTAACAGTTTATAATTTACTAAAGTTCAATGTATCGCCTTTTTTTCTTCTATGGATTGTGCTTTTATTTATAAAAAATCTGCTTAACTCAAGATAACGAGAATTTTCTCCCATGTTTCCTTCTGAAGGTTTAGTAATTTGACATTTAGATCTGTGCTCTATTTTGATGCAATACATTTTGTTTTAAATTTTATCTCAGTGTTTGTCATTATCACTTATTTTTTAAAATTGTACTTCTTATTATCATTTTATGCTATAGTTCCATAGGCCCTGGGATTTTCCTTATCTCCTCCCAATTCTCTTCCTCCTCACCGAGTTCCTCTATGTCATTACTACAGTATAGTTCTTCATACACAGTCATATGTCCATCCCATCATTGCGGGCG